AAAGGAAAGGGGAGGGAGGAAGAGGGAAGAAGATGGGGAAGAGGAGGGGCAGGGAGGAGAAGAAGGAGGAGAAGAAGGAGAAGGAGAGTAAGAAGAAGAAGGTCTCCATCCTCTAGACTACCTCATGGTCTAAAATGGCATGCTGGGGTTCCATTCACCACATCCAATTCCAGGGAGTAGGAAGGAAGGGGGTAGGGGGAAAATGCCCATCATCAAGCTAAGCCGGCCTCTTTCAGCAGCCTTTCCAGAAGTCCCTTGTAACACTTCCATAGCATTGGCTAGAACTACACCATATATAATACTTTTCACTGCACGGACACTAGGAAATGGATTCTCTTTTTCTGGCACATTACTGTTCAGAATAAAATCAGGGTTCTGTTACTAAAAAGAAGAGATGAGATATTGGGTGGCAATTCACAGTTTGTACCACATTCCCATTATGTGGTGCTTTTGTAGGAAATTTCATGTAGCCATTAAAAATAATGAATGACAGTGAAAAAAAAAAAAATAAAAAAAAAAATAAAATAAAAATAATGAATGAGAGCTGTGCTAATTCCCCAAGGAAAAAAGAAGAGTGAATAGAAGTGATAAAATATGGTTCGATTTTTAAAGTAATATAGGATGACAAAAATCTCTACATATGTGTGCATATACATATGCAAATGATAAACAGTTGACTCTTGAACAACACAGGTTTAAACTGCATGGATATACTTATATGTGTATTTTTTTTCAATAAATACACAGTCAGCCCTCTTTCCCCCCAGGTTTCTAATTCCAGGGGTCAACCAACCGTGGATCAAACCAACATTTTCCATCTGCATTTGGGAACCCACACATTTGCAGAGCTGAATGCGTGCAATTGTTCTACGTCATTTTATAAAAGGGACTTGAGCATCTGCAGATTTTGGTATCTGAAGAGGGTTGGGGAGCCTCCTGTGGATACCAAGGGACAATCATAATTAAGATTTTGAGGATTCAAAAGTTATACACAGATTTTCAACTGTGTGAGAGTTGGCACCCCAACCCCCAGTTGTTCAAGGGTCAGCTGGGGAAGTAAATGAATATGGAAAAATACACAGTAGGTTGTCAACATGTCTTATTTGGGCAAGGGGAGAACAGAAGAATATCTTTGTGCTGTTCCATTGTTCCACTTGTTATAATTGGCATGTGCTAATTTTGTAATTTGTAGTTGTTTTAAAAGATTTACTTACAGAAATATTTTATTTAGAGAGTGTACTAGCTAGATAACATTAGGAAGAATATTGCATTCTTTTTTGAGTTAATGAATATTAAGTATAAATACTTAAATGTTTATAAGAATTTAAATATAATGTAAGGCAGAATAATATCACAATATATATCTTTGCTGAATCATCTGGTATTCTAGCATTTATGAAATTAAAAAGATAACTTCATGAATTGAATTTATTGTTTACAAATAAGTAAATGACATTTAGGCCATGAATCTTTCATGAAAAAGTTTTTTGGGTTTTTTTTAATATATTTTATTGATTTTGTACAGAGAGGAAGGGTGAGAGATAGTTAGAAACATCAATAAGAGTATCATCGATCAGCTGCCTCTTGCACACCCCCTACTGGGGACTTGCACATCCCCTACTGGGGACATGCCTGCAACCAAGGTACGGGCCCTTGACTGGAATCAAACCCAGGACCTTTCAGTCCCCAAGCTGACACTCTTCCATTGAGCCAAACCGGTTTCCGCTCATTAAAAAGTCTTGTTTGGGAATTAGTCACACCTTACAGGAATAAGTCAATTTCATGTCAACTTGGCTTCTTCAAAATTTCATGAAGAAAAACCTTTTAAAACATATACAACAACATCATATTATAAAATATATTTTAACCAGACATAATAATTATATTTTATCCAGACATAATAAAGAGTATGAAAAAATAAAGAACAAAAATCAATTCCCTCCCTACCTACCTAGCTGACCATCTGTTTGGCATAGAAAATGTCCTGTGTAGTGACCTGAGAAAAGAACTAGCAGCTATTAATCCTGAGACATTATTGATCCTGTGCCATAAGCCAAAAAAAAAAAAAAAGAGAGAGACTATTAAACTTTTTAATAATAATATAATAATTTCAAAGTAAAATCTCAGATTTAAATTTATATCCAAATACATCATTTAATAATGGCCATATTTGGTTTCTGCCTTAGTTGTGGTCATACTAGGTTATTTGGCATCAGGCCAAAAAGTGTTCAGTGGACTACTTAATAAACATATTGTATAAACAATGATGGTTTAATGAAAGTGGTCATTCAGAAACACTAATATACATAATAATGATTTGGAGAAATTGTAATAAATGTCACTTCTTCTCTAAATAGTATTCCTCTCCCTCAATACTTATTCTGCCATCCAAGTACTAACCAGGCCCAACCCTGCTTAGCTTCCGAGATCAGACGAGATGGGGCGCGTTCAGGGTGGTATGGCCGTAGACTCAATACTTATTCTGAATCATAAATGGGCATTTTAGCCCAAGCTGGTTTGGCTCAATGGATTAGGGTTAGGGTCCTGGGTTCAGTTCCAGTCAAGGGCATGTACCTTGGTTGTAGGCTCTTCCCTGGCCCAAGCTCTGGCCAGGGCCTGTGCAGGTGGCAACCAATTAATGTGTTTCTCTCACATTGATATTTCTCTCTGTCTTTCCCTCTCTTCCACTCTCCCTAAAAGATAATTGGGAAAATATCCTTGGGTGAGGATTAAAAGAGAGAGAGAGAGAGAGAGAGAGAAAGAGAGAGAGAGAGAGAGAGAGAGAGCGCGCGAAAGGAAGAAAGAAAGAAAGAAAGAAAGAAAGAAAGAAAGAAAGAAAGAAAGAAAGAAAGAAAGAAAGAAAGAACGAAAGAAAGAAAAAGAAAAGAAAGAAATGGGCATTTTAAACCAGCCCACCAAGATCCTTTTCTGCCTGTCTCTCAGGATCACGTTTTGAGAAACACTGATTATAATAGAAAACTGTTTGAAACTTGATCTTCATTATAAACTGTCTTCATGTTTGCAAAATAAGGGTCAGGTGTGCAAATAGCACTGTTATAAATATAGAGCCTGAAAAAAGTTATGCTCTAGTTTAGTAAATTAAAAAAAAAAAAACTAGAATATGACTTAAATTCTGAGTCCTGGACCACATTTTTCTCAGCAGTGAAATATGACCAATGTGATGGAGCTGGAAGATAAATCTGTGAGCCTATTTTTATAAATGTTTTAACTGTTTTTCAGGGCTGGAGTGGTATAATTTCTGTGGTGGATGTATAGTTAGAATGGGGGTTTGGCACACAGGAATAAAAAGGGGATTCAGATTGGAAAGTAGTGAGTAATTATACTCAAGAACCACAAGCCCAATCCTATAATAACTCTTCATGGCTTCCAATTCCTAAATTTATTTTCTGTTAAATGAAAGCAGTCATCTAAGTGATGTTGTGCTGGGAATCAGGACATTATAGAATATCTTAGTTCCAATTCCATAAATCTCTATCTTCAAATAAAACCCCCAAGTACAAATAATACATCTCAATCACTTTGTAAATCATTTTTCTGTGTTGATTCTCTCCATCTTTAGCCAAAACTTAGAGCTGGGACAGAGTCCAGGTGAGGACAAAACTGCAAAATTCTATACTCCCCATTCTTTGGTTATTTTGCCTTGAACTGAGGCGGATACTTGGCAATTAGCCACGGGAGGGGGGGGGGTGAGACTCAAATTTTTCTAATTCACTCTCTTCATTAATCAAGTCGACCAAGTAATTTCTAAACATTCCATCAGCTCTGCACCTTCCTGTTACTAGCCCAGGATGTAGTCTTCCTGCTTCAGAAACTATAGACGTAAAAAGGGTTCTTAAGCCCTAACCGGTTTGGCTCAGTGGATAGAGAGAGCATTGGCCTTTGGACTGAAGGGTCCCAGGTTTGATTCCATCCAGCCAAGGGCATGTACCTTGGTTGTGTGCACATCCCCAGCAGGGGGTGTGCAGGAGACAGCTGATGGGTATTTCTCTCTCCTTGATGTTTCTAACTCTTTATCTCTCTCTGTAAAAAATTAATAAAATACATTTAAAAAAAAAAAAAGGGGGGGGGTTCTTAAAAATCAAGTCCTGCCAACCTATTTGACAGTTTGAAAGCTAAACCCAGCTTTCGAGGGTAGTTGTTAGAAGTCAAATGGGCTTGGGTTAGGAGCAGAAAACAAAGCTCTGGATGGTTCCTTCCCACCACACGTCATGTGGGCGGCTCAGGAGGGTCTTCAGGGGAGGAGATACAAAACAGTGGGACTCTGCCCTGCGTTTGGCTCCCGATTTGAGGGTAGTTGGGGAAGAGAGGACAAGTCACAAGCACATTTGCATTTAAGGGTTCCAGCGATGGTTCTGACACTAAAGAACCACGTGCTCCTTGTAAAGGTGTTTAATATTTCATTTTTTTAGAGTAAGACAACCAGTACAAAACCGCGCATAGTTGTCCAATATACTTCCATCCCTTTCTTTGCCTCACTTGGGCATTGCCAACATTAAAGAGACTCATATAGGTTAAATGACTTAGACAGGTACCTGTAACATAGTAAGGCTTAATATTACCACTGACTCTTATGGCCGATCTTTGAAAGGCTGACAGCTTACCAGCAACGCGCGGAACGGGGTGTAAATTTTTTACTGAGTTTAGCCCATCACTGCGCATGCGCGTCCCGTCCCAATTACTGTCCGGCCCCGGGCTCAAGCTCCGCCCCAAGCTCCGCCCCCGGGCTCAAGCTCCGCCCCAAGCCCCGCCCCCGAGGGGCGCCCCTTAAAGAGCGGGCACGTGGTGAGGCGCAAGCTCGTCCGAGGTGAGATAAACCAGAGGGCAGGCGGGGGAGGGGGGGGGGAAGAGAAGGAGGTGTTTACTTCCGGGTCCTCGGTCGCTTCATTTCCGGGAGAAGCCGGCACCGCTGGTAGCTTACATTGAGGACGGTGTTTTCGGCCGCCGGGTGGTCCCGTGGCCTCGGTCCGGGGAAGCCAGGCATGAAGATCACGAGGCAGAAACACGCGAAGAAGCATCTGGGCTTCTTCCGCAACAATTTCGGAGTGCGGGAGCCGTACCAGATCCTGCTGGACGGCACCTTCTGCCAGGCGGCGCTGCGGGGCCGCATCCAGCTGCGGGAGCAGCTGCCCCGCTACCTCATGGCGGAGACGCAGCTGTGCACCACCAGGTGGGCGGGCCGGGCGGCGGCCGTGAGGGCTGGCTCCCGGGGGGCTGGGGACGTCTGCCGTGGAGGCAGGAAGGACCCCGCACTGAAATCATGGGGATTCCTTAGCCCGGCGATGGAGGCCACGTGCCCGGCTCGGTCCCAGTCCCACCAGCTGTCATTCTGGGCCAGTTCGCCTCTCTGAGCCTTGGATTTGTCATCTGGAAAAAAGGGACCAGAACCTCGTATTATAATGTCGCTAAAGTATCAAGTGAGGAGGCATAGGGAACATAGAGCATTTATTGGTGTCTGAAACCTACCCCCTTTTAACGGTTGCTGTTACTTGTCTGGCTTTTCCTAATTTAAGCAAAGTGAAACAATTTCAAGTGTCACAACTGCCCTGCGAGGTAACCTCTTCGATTCCCAAAAAGTTAAGTCAGGACTGGAGGTGAGGAACTTTGCCTACGGTCATGTGTTTATCCATCTGCCCTTTTGATTTGGTTCATCCTCACCCTAGTATTTTTTTTTCCCCCCATTGACTTTTAGAGAGTGGAAGGGAATGGGAGAGAGAGAGAGAGAGACATCGATGTGAGACAGAGGGACGGAATAGAATCTAGGACCGTTCAATCCGAGGACCAATGCTCTAACCACTGAGCAAGACCAGCTGGTGCTATTCATCAGTCTTTAAGGGACCATCACTATGCCAAGCATGGCATCAGCCACTGAAGATAACTTGGTGAACAGGACAGACTCCCTGCCCTCGAGACCAAGAAAGTGAAGTTGTGCTTGGGGGCCAGCTAGCTTCCACACCTCAGAGTGGAAACACTTAGGATGGCACTTAGTGGGGTGGGGAGGAAGGAGTCTGGAATCCTGAAGGTGTCCTAGAGGACATAGCATGTGAGCCCAGCCACAGTTCAGTTCTGAGAGGAGGGACTATTTTGAGTGACAGAAAAGAGAGAAGTGAGGATCTTTTGGACAAAGGAATGGAGTTGGGAAGTGCCTGGAAAAGAGATTAGTTGGAAATGAAGTTGGGAAAAAGGTAGATGGAGGCTAGATTATGAAGAACTATTATTTAGAAATGTAACGGTTTTGGGTTTTGTTTTCTTTTTATTATTATTGTAGAATGTCACTTGAAAAAAGAAAGTTAAAATGACCCATAATACCACATCAGTGAGTAGCCACTATTAACACGTGCTGTGTCATACATTCGGTTCTTTATAGATACACAGACACACAAGAATGTGATCTTCCTGTGCATACGGTGTTTATGGCCTGCTTTTCTCACATAACACTGCTCTGTGAACAGCTTTCCATATTTGGAACTTCTCAAGCAGGGCCTCAGATAGGGAATTGATACCCCAAAATGTTTGATCCCCTTAACCTTCCGGGCTGCCAGACAAGTCCTTAGTTAACTTGTGCCCCTGAGTGGGTTGCTTGTCCATTTATCACCATGTGGCATAGAAATGTGAATATTTTTAATACATTGCTATGACAAAAAAAAAAAAAAAAAAAAGTTGAGAAGTATTGCAGGAAATTATATTCCACAGCGTTTCTTCCTAAAGAATTTAGTTTAATTTCTGAAATATTTCATACGTACACAAAAATAGGATCGTATATTGAAATGTCTGTCACCCAGCTTTTGCAATTATCGACATGGACAACCTTGTTTCATTTATCCTCCACCCATCTTTATTGATAGTTTATTTTGAAGCATATTATGTAGTCATTTTTTGGTATGTATCATGAAGAGATAAAGATTTCAGTGTCTCTTGAGGATTTTAAAACTGTAACCGTTCTCTTTCCCCCTATTTGAAATTTGCTCTTTATGGTTTTAAGAAATGAGATCACTTGTTTTTCAGTAGAATGTTTTTGCTGCCACTAGTAGTTAGAAGGTTTACTCATATTCAGGTTTGAAGAAATTTGGAGTTTTTGTAATTTGATGAAGCAGACAGGACAACTATCTTTTATTTTTTTCTAAAAATATATTTTATTGATTTTTTACAGAGAGGAAGGGAGAGGGACAGAGTCAGAAACATCAGCCGCCTCCTGCATACCTCCCCGTGGGGATGTGCTGCAACCAAGGTACATACATGCCCTTGACCAGAATTGAACCCCGGACCCTTGAGTCCACAGGCTGACGCTCTATCCACTGAGCCAAACCAGTTTCGGCAGGACAACTATCTTTTAGAAAAAATAATTGCAACAATGTGAGGGGTATGTTGGAGAAGCACGAGGGAAGACAGGCACACCTGTGCTGTGGTTGTCCCATCAAGAATAATGTGAACCTGAACCTGGAAGGGGAAAAGCTGGAGCCTAAGGGGTTCTGCAAGGAGACATTACGGAGGTAGATACCAACAGCTGATGGGGTAGGAGTCTGGGCAGATAATAAATTCAAACAGATAGCAAGCCCTGGAGGAAAGTAGTTAGACTTTAGATATGGTGAATGAAAAGCTGATGTCAGGACATCTATAGGATTTATTCAAGAAATAGTTGGCAATTTGGGCTTGGAACCCAACATAGGGGCCAAAACTGATGACTATAGAACACAAACTTTTTTCTTAAAAAATGAAAACAAGCCGAAACCGGTTTGGCTCAGTGGATAGAGCATCGGCCTTCGGACTCAAGGGGTCCCGGGTTCGATTCCGGTCAGGGGCATGCACCGTGGTTACGAGCACATCCCCGGTCGGGGGTGTGCAGGGGGCAGCTGGTCGATGTTTCTCATTGATGTTTCTGACTTTCTGTCCCTCTACCTTCCTCTCTGTAAAAAAATCAATAAAATATATTTTTTAAAAAATGAAAACAAAAACACACTAGTGGGGTGACCAAAGGAGTCTGGTGAGGGCTGGCTAGATTTGAAGAAATCTTTGACTCGGTAGTCTTTTTCTTTTTCTTTTTTTTCTTTTTTTTAAGTGAGATGGAAGAAGTGCCTGGGAGCTTATTAAAATACTCATATTTGACGCCCGCACAAGAGGTGCAGATTTGGGGATGAGAAGCGAACTAGAAATTAATATTACTGTCATTCTGGTATGAATTGTTTATAGATGACACTTGAAAAAACATTGGCTCATATTAATATGAACATGCGGAGTGAAAGGAGATAGTGGTTGTTTTGCAGCCATCTGATATCTTGAGAATTTTTACTTTTTAGAACTGAAAATATTGTGAGGGGGTACCAATTGGTACTTGAAATAGAAGAACGTAGCAGTGTGGTTGGGGCAAGGCATCTATTATCAAACTATCGATACTTGGATTCACATTTTCATTCTACCACTTATTAATTTGAATTTGAGCATATTGCTTGAAATCTCTCAGAATTAAGATGCACTGGCATCAGGATAATTTGAAAGTAAGCTGTCAAACTTCGTAGGACTGTTTTGAGATTAAGCAAGGATTTATGTAAAGATCAATTAACATGCTGCCCGGCTCATAATAAACACTCAGTAAATTTTAACAGTTATTATTGTTATTTCTACTTGGTGTATGAATTTTCCAGGTATTTTAAGAGTGAAATGGCTACTGTATGGTTTGTGGCTATCGTATTAAAAATTCAGATTGTGTTGATATAATTTTAGCTCTTTAAAATTTGAGTGTTATTTTTTATACTTGCTTTATGTGAACACTTGATATAATGGTGAACCACTAATAACATTTTCTTTTTCAGGTGTGTGTTAAAGGAGTTAGAAACACTGGGACAGGAATTATATGGGGCAAAACTGATTGCACAAAAATGCCAGGTTCGAAATTGTTCCCATTTCAAGAATGCAGTGAGTGGATCAGAATGTCTGCTTTCCATGGTTGAAGAGGGGAATCCCCATCATTATTTTGTGGCATCACAGGTGATACTACTTTTAAATCTAGAGTCGATTTTTAATCATTTCTAGCCATACTTCATATAGTGCTGTTGATAATCAGAAAAAATTAGTGCAAGTGGTTTGCTCAAGTGCTTTGACTTTTTAAAAATACTAGCTTTTAAGTTAATTTGCAATCAATAAAAGCAGTTATCGTTAGAGAATTTGAGAACTTTAAGCATATTGATTTTCTCAATTACTGAAGTTTCCTTTTTTAAAATAAAAATTTATTGATATACAAATGTGTTGACATGTTTTGAGTTCTTGAAGGGAAGAGAAGTACAGCAAAGATTTTGCATTCTATGTTCATGGATGTCTCTTTCCTTATTTTATATTTCATACTATTTTTTTTAAAGTCATGTTTCGCTGAAACCGGTTTGGCTCAGTGGATAGAGCGTTGGTCTGCAGACTGAAAGGTCTCAGGATCAATTCTGGTCAGGGGCATGAACATTGGTTGCGGGCACAACCCCAGTGGGGGATATGCAGGAGGCAGTGGGTCGATGATTCTCTCTCATCGACATTTCTAACTCTCTATCCCTCTCTCTTCCTGTCTGCAAAAAAAAAATCAATAAAATATATTTTTTAAAAATAAAAATAAAAAATTAAATTTTAAAAAAAGTCATGTTTCATGTTATTTGAGACTGTCCATATATATGGAACTGCTTCAGGCTTTTAAAAACACTAGGAGGGAGGAGAAGAGAGACTCTCAAGATGATATTAATGAAGTTCACTTTCATAGAGATTTGCATAAATATGCTAACAGAATTATAAAATTACATAATTAGAGGCAAAGCTGAATCTAGAATCTGAGTCAGCTAATTCCTACTTTATTTCTATTACTTCAACCAATGTGAGCATTCTGGAGCGTGATCTTAGAGCAAAGGCAAAGGACATCACCTAACATGTTTACCTTTGCATTAGTTTGTGATTCACGGTCCTTAAAATAGCCATTTTCAACCCGGAGTTGCATCTTATTGGTTGGTCACATCACATAAGGTTGCTTCTGATTGGTTAATCTTGGTACCAGAAATTCTTTTTTTTAAAATTGATTTATTGATTATCGTATTACATAATTGTCCTCATTCCCCCCTCCCCCCCATTCCCACCTAAAACCCCTCCTCACGTATGCCCCCACCCCGCTGTTGTCCATGACCACTGGTTAGGCTTATAGCATGCACACAAGTCCTTTGGTTGATCTCTCCGCAGAAATTCTTATATATAAGTATAGTACCTGATTTTTTAAGTCACTTTGGAGCAAAAAGGGCAAATAATTACTATTATTTTTATTATTAGTAGTAGTAGTAAATCAATATCATACTTATTCTTCATTAGATCAGCAAAATATATAATATATATATTTTTAAAATATATTTTATTGATTTTTTACAGAGAGGAAGAGAGAGGGATAGAGAGCCAGAAACATCGATGAGAGAGAGACATCGATCAGCTGCCTCCTGCACACCCTCCACTGGGGATGAGCCCGCAACCAAGTACATGCTCTTGACTGGAATCGAACGGGGACCTTTGAGTCCACAGGCTGAGGCTCTATCCACTGAGCCAAATCGGTCTCAGCGAGCAAAATATATTTTTTGATGTACCACAGAACTTTAGTAATTTATGTGTGCCATGATATATATGAAAAAGGTTGAATATCATTGCCCTGGAATATTGATAAATCTAGTTCACATTGTTGCCACTTAACTGTGTTCAATTTTTATGTTTCTCTTCCTTTCTTTATCATAAAATATACTGTCTTCCCAATAGTGAGCATACTAATTTGAAAATTAAAACCTATGATTTATTTTATTTTTCATATAACCCTCTTGAAGTTCTTAGAAACCTGTCTAAGGCACCTCATTTAACTGGCATACTTGAACTAACTAATTCTTTTTTTCTTTTTAATAGGATCAAAATTTATCTATGAAAGTAAAGAAAAGGCCTGGAGTTCCTCTTATGTTTATTATTCAGAACACTATTGTCTTGGACAAACCTTCTCCCAAAACAATTGCCTTTGTTAAAGCGGTAGAGTCCGGTCAGCTTGTCTCAGTTCATGAGAAGCAAAGTATCACGCAACTCAAAGAGGAACAGGGTTTAGTGAAAAACCCTGAACAGAGAAGAAGAAAAAAGCGCAAGAAGATAAGTGGCCCCAACCCCCTTAGCTGTTTGAAGAAAAAGAAGAAACCACAGGATACAAAACCATCTTGCTCTGAAAAGAAAAGGAAGAGAAAAAGAATCCGGAACAGATCGACCTCAAAAGTACTTTCTGGAACAGAAAATGCAGAAGGATAAGGAATCCTTTGATACTTTGAATGACATTCAAGTGTGAAAAGTAAATTTCTTTTTAAAACTGTGGAAGTACTAAGAATAAAAAAAAAAAAAAAAACACAAAAAACTAAAACTTATTTTTGTAAATGAATATTGATCCATAAGCCTTTGCCTAAAATTATTTGTAAATAAAAAACAAAATAATGAATTAATGGGTTTAAGTGTGACAGTGTTCACTTTTCTTACTCTGATTTTGGAGGGTGTTTGTTGAGGTAAAACTTGTTTCTTTCTCACCATCACCCCTCACCCCACAACTTTATATGCAAATAGTTTTAAAAATCAAATAGTGTCAAAAGGCTTGTGACAAAAAAGCAGGCCTCTTTCACATTCACAGAGGAAACTTTCTCTTTCAACTCATGTAGAGTATATAGAATTTATCTTATATTTCTAAATAATGACTGGATGATTGGTTTTCCTTTATAATAAGGACAAAGTATATTAGGAATAGCATATGTCAGTTTGTACAGGATTGGTTCACAGTTTATATAGAAAATAATACAATAATAAAGAATAAACTGTTTCACATTATACACTCAGTGGACAGACAATGCATACTTATTCATGAATTAGGTAAATAAGGGGATTGAACAAAATATTCCGCATTTCCCCCCCTGCATTTTAGATGTTTTTAATAGCAGCTAAAGAAGATAAGGTATGCAATTGATTCTAGTGTGTGTGTGATTAAGGGAAAAATATTACTGTTAAGCTATTTGGGTTCGAATGTTTCATTTTTTTCCTCCTATGAATCAATTCTGAGCTCACTGTCCACTCCCTGAGGCAGTCGGAAAGATGCATTCTGTTCCCTTCAGTTGTCAAGATGTTACAACTTATCTAACCCTTCCCACAGGTAGCAAATGCTGAAAAGGTAAATCTTCCAAATGTTCATCACTTTGCATAACTATTTACAATGATCTTTTTTCCAGTTGCTGTGAAAATGATAGCCCCTATGTAATAAAATATGTTGATCTCCAAAACTGAGTCAACGATAGTAAATCTTTGATGTGGTAAGCAGCCCCAGCAGGTGCTGTTTAGCTTTATGATGAAATGAAGCTCATACTGGCAGTTAGAGAGTTCTCCACACTGAGAAAGAGCAGGGACAGAAAGGAGATGGTCAAGGAATGGCATGGCAGTGTGGAAGATGCATGTGTGTTAGCACCCACTGCCCACATTTGCAGCCCCTTAGAATGATGGTAAACCCAGATAGCCATCAGGGAGGTGGCAGCCCTGATCCCCACAGCTTCTGGGTTTTAGGTCTCATCATTTCCTGAAACAACATATTTAGACACTTAGAGCTGTCACTAGTTTTTTCTTTGGTTCAAGTGCAAAGATCTTGTTTTATTTTACCCTTGTTTTTCAGTAGCAGTTGATGTCATTTCTGGAACCTAGGTCCTAGGTGCTTATTAACTATTGAACGAGTGAATGAATGAATTGGATGGAATGAACGCTATTATTTTTTTTAACATTTTATTTTTTACAGAGAGGAATAGAGAGCTAGAAACATCAATAAAAGAGAAACACCGACCAGCTGCCTCCTGCATATCCCCGACCGGGGATGTGCCCGCAACCAATGTACATGCCCTTGACTGGAATCGAACCTGAGACCTTTCAGTCCACAGACCAACACTCTATCCACTTGAGCCAAACCGGTTTTGGCATGAACTCTATTATTATCATGTGTATCACAGGATCTCCAGCCTTCCTAACTCCTGACTGTCCTGAGGAGGGGAGAAGAGCAGGAGAATGTCCCATGACTTCATCAATCAAGACGGTCAGTATCACACTGTTTCTTTTATGCATAACAAAATAAGAGCCATCTCACTTTTCTTGCCAATACAGCGCACACATCACTCAAAAATTTATTTCATGAGCACTTTGGCATTTGAAAATAATCAACAGTTAGACAAAAATACAAAAACCTTACATTTTGTCAAAAGGAAGAAATATTTAGAAATAGGTTGGTTGGCAGAATATCATGTATCTAACTGACTGAAACATTGTCAACTTCATCTGCCTCTAAAAGGTATTTCTACTTTTCACATCATTCTGTTCTATGAGTTATTCTGATATGTGTATGGAGAGGGAAGGGAGGAAGAGAGAGGAAAGGGAGGGGGGGCAGAGATAGAGATAAAATGAATTGCATGTACATACACTCTGTTGCCCATAAAACCCATTATTTTTAGAACAAGCGTGGGTACAGTGCAATACTACCTACTGGGCTTCCCCATCAATTCTGAAGCTGTTTCCCAGAAGCCATTGCTAATCCCCAGAGGACAGAGATATTCTGTCTTTCTATATCCCGAAATAGCTGATTATAAGAGAGCCACCATCAGATGGCACTCAAAGGTGCTATTTGATTCAGTGTCCTTCTGTGTCATTATCCTTGGCACTCACAGACGCCTGCTCTGACATCCCCATTCTCCCACTTCGATGGGAAATTACGTTAGCCTTTCTGGGTGTACCGTCCTGTCATCAGGTGTCTGGTCCTTATCACATCCTAGCTGAACACACTTTGGACCTTCAGAGATTCTTTTGGCAACTTTGGTAAAACGACAAAAAGGGGGAGGAGAAAGTTATTCTGCTAAAGCTGGAGAAAAAAGTTATAAACAGGTAGGTACCCAATCAGCTTGAGAAGCAGAAGGTTCTTGGCCCTCCCTGTGCATCAGAATCATGAGGAACAGGAAAGAGGCAGATGCCCAAACGCCACCTGAGAGGTTTAGATTTTTAATCTGGCGTGGGGTCCGAGCATCCTGCAATTTAACTGTTCTCAGGTGTTGGTGCAGGCAGGCTGAAAACTCAACGTAGAAAAAAACCTGGGTCTGGGAAGTAGGCCATTCCAGGTCCAAACGATCAATTGGGACTTCTCTCAGCCTCAGTTTTCTTAGAGGCAAAATGGGATTTACTGTGAATAAGCTAGTGTCTGGCACATAGTACATGTTCAATAAATTGTCTACTTCTTTTTTTTTTTTTTTTTAAATATATATATTTTATTGATATTTTACAGAGAGGAAGGGAGAGAGATAGAGAGCTAGAAACATCGATGAGAGAGAAACATTGACCAGCTGCCTCTTGCACACACCCTACCAGGGATGTGCCCGCAACCAAGGTACATGCCCTTGACCGGAATCGAACCCGGGACCTTTCAGTCCCCAAGCCGACGCTCTATCCATTGAGCCAAACCGGTTTCGGCTAAATTGTCTACTTCTTGTAATGAAATACTATATAGCTGTTAATACTCATACTTCATATTTCAAAAGGCTGCCTAATCATCTGAGAAAATGAATGTTCCGTATCCTCCCTCCCCCATTGCCAAGTTCTGCAGGCAGGTCCTTGGCCCTATCTTCCTTCCTAGGGAATTATGATTCGGAGCAACCTTTCTCCACCTCTGGCTGCAAATTTGTCTCTTTCAATCTTTCAAAAAAAAAAAAAAAAAAATCAAGGAGAATCTCTAAGGAAAGTGTGTGGGCTTCTGACTAGTTTAAAAGGCTCCCCAGGTGATTCTGATATGAAGCCAGAGTTCCAAGGCACCAATGCAGCAGTGTTATCTCAAACTTTGGCATAAGAATAATTTGGAGATTTTTATTTACAGTCCATGCTTCCTGGGTCTTACACTCAGAGTCTGATTCAGTGGGTCCCGGTGGGGGCCCAGAACTTGCCTTGTAAACCAGCTCCCAGACCCCAGCACCAGCTTCAGCTGGGAGCTTTAGGAATGCAAACTGATGAGTCCCACCGGGCACTAATCAGGATCTCTCTGAGGAACCTTTGTTTTGACAAGCTCTCCACGTGGTTCTTATTTTTTGCTAAAATTTAAGGACCCCCCAGCCGGATCGCCAAAACAAGACGGAAGGCAGCCCCAGAAATCAGGGAACGCCGCCGCCAGGATTTCAAGTCTGTGGCCCGGAACCAGAGTCTGAAGCCAGCGCCAGGAAAGCCACCCGAGTGAGTGAGTACAAGGACAAAGCGGGTCCTCGGAGGAGAGCCCGGGGCCTTTACCAAAAGGAGGGGAGTGAATGTCAGGAAAAAGCACGGCTGGGACTCCACCTATGCAGGGGAGAGGGGTTCTGGCGTCGTTTTTGAGGATGAAATAGGATGATGCATGTAAAAGTGTTTTTCAGTGTCTGGCACAATGTAACCGATTAGGGACTCGCATGAATTATTATTATTTTTTTTTTTTAGGAAAGCAGTACATTGTGGCACTCGGAATGATTAGGTTAGGACCTATGAACTGTATGTTTCAGATTGTGAAAAATGACTAAAGAAAACAACTTAGGTGATACAAACAAACTTGGCCCCTCGTGAAGCAGACAATCCCCATGTGGAGAACTGCAAAATGGGGTGAAGGCAGAGAGCTTCACGAGGATAAAGAAAAAAGAGCAAGGAAGAGAAAAGCAGAAAATAATGTGATTTCCTGAGTTGGCATGAGAAGCCAGAGTTGGCTTGGCGTGGGAGAACTGGCTGCCTGGTTATAACAGTGGTCGGCAAACAGAGCCAAATATCAACAGTACAACGATTGAAATTTCTTTAGAGAGCCAAGTTTTTTAAACTTAAACTATATAGGTAGGTACATTGTTATTAACTTAATTAGGGTACGTGGTATTTTGTGGAAGAGTCACACTCAAGGGGCCAAAGAGCCACATGTGGCTCGCGAGCCACCGTTTGCTGACCACTGGGTTAGACGGTTTCTGGTCAAGCAGAGTGTTTCCAGGCCATGAAGGTTATATAAGTTTCAGGTTGCTGTCTGGCTCCTCCGCTAGGACTGGTTCTCTCTTAGGCCTAGAGATTCATTTAGACCCGGGTTTTATGTTTGGGTCTGTGATCCATCTCAATCACATTTTGTGTATGGAATGAGTTAGGGGTTAATTTTTCCTAGATACAGCAGCCATTTTAGAAAAGACTTCTCTATGAAGTTAACTTGGCTCCTTTTTTTTTTTCATTTTGACTGCACACTCCTGGAAGGCTGGGACTTT